GGTCAAGAAGATCCGCAGATGAAAAAACAAATAACATCTTAGTGACTCACCAATAGAGTCGTAGATTTCTTGTTTCAATTTTTTGGACACAAGTGTTACATATTAAACTATCAGATAAATACAAAAGAAACTAAATAGGATGATTAATAGGTTCAAAGATATTCATTCATTTTCGATTGAAACATGTCGAACACAAAAAAAGTATATGTCAAACATGCTAAACTATATCAAACAGATTACTTTTAATTAGTTGAGGTTTAATCTAGTTTGTTTAACAACTGTTGATTAAACCAAATATGATTAAGGCATATATACTAAGGTTCAACAAAATTGAAACCGAAAACCGAAAAGCCGATAAAACCGAAAGCGAACTCAAACCGTCAGTATTGGGTTTAAGTTTATCAAAACCGAAAAATTCGGGTTGGGTTTGGTTTTGGGGTTAAAAACGATCCACTAAAACTGAACCAATCCAATGGGTTTAAAACTGACCCAAACCCAAGAAACCGACCCGATATACATATTATTAATTATTTGATATATTTTTAATAAATGTTATTTGTTTATTAAAAGAATCAATATATATTGTTTCAAAACCATAACCTCATTCTTTACTAATGCTCCTCTCATCTTACTCTCTCAGCCTATCATCTTACTTTCTCAGCCTATCACATGCAAGAGCACAATTGCATCAGGAAGTGATGAACCGTATCCCCAAGTCAATAATTCATTTAGGAGATGTTTGTTTTTTATCTGTAGATCTTCTTGGTCTCCTTTGTCTGCGTCGCAAACTATTTGTTTTTTAGAAGATCGCAAACCTACTGTACACCCTCTTCTTGGCCTAGATATGGAGTAGAATCTTTTAACATCTTTAGACATATTCTAGCCTAAAAGAACATCATTCCCATTAATATATATTTTTCGAATGTCTCTTTTATTTCTGTAAATATCAAATATATTCGCTAATTCATTTTAACTATTAGACATCAATATTCGCTAATTCATTGTAACCATTCAGACATTAATAGATTTTTTGTTCAAATGTCCTTTTTTTTTTTACCTATTAGACATCAATATTTTTTAGAGTAAATTAGATGTATGGTCCCTATGGTTTTGGGTAATTTGCGTATTTAATCCATAACTTATTTTTTTTTAAATTGGAAAGTCCTTAATGTTTGTTTTTGTTATGCGTTTGGTCCCTACTACTTTTGTTTTTGTTTCACGCTTGATCCCTGTCTTACCTAAAAAAAACTATTATTTTAATAGGGAAAAATGGTATGTTAGGTAGAGTAATGTGAGGGGGTTGGGCCTTGGGGATGTGTTTATTTAAATAAGTTAAAAAATCAAGGGTAAAATAGACTTTTTAGGTGAGATAGGGACCAAGCGTGTAACAAAAACAAACAATATGGACCTTCCGAGTTAAAAAAATAAGTTAGGGACCAAACATATAAATTACTCTAAAGAATAGGGACCATTCGTGTAATTTACTCTATTTTTTATTCAAATGCATTTTTTTTTGTAATATTTCTTCATTTTAACTACAACGAAATACAATAAATATCAAATATATTCGCTAATTCATGCCATTTTACTTTTATTTTTTATATTACAACTCGTTTTTGAATTAAAGTGTAAAATAATTTAGCCAAAACATTAATCATAATATAATGTTACAATAAAGAAATAAAATAAAAATTTAGGGTAAATTACATCATTCGTCCCTCATGCACATGCCAGAAAGCATGTTTAGTCCTTATTTTCAAAAATTAACTCGGATCATCCATTGGTTTGTTTTTTCTTGCATTTTTAGTCCCTAGTGACATAAAATGACTAGTTTACGCTTAATAATTTCTTTTTTCATTTTCTTTTATTTCTTTATCAGTTTTAGATTATAAAAAAAATCAAATACCCCCTCCCCTCCCCAATTCTCTTTCCTTTTTCCTTCTACCTTTTCTGGAAATCGGCACCACTAGAATCAATGTCTACCACCACCGAATACCACCGGAAACTGCCTATCCTCCTCTTTTCTCCGACGAAACTAACTAGCCAAAAATCGTTTGTTTTCCCCTCTTTCATATCACAATCGTTAATCTTAAACAACCCTCCAGAAACCACAAACAATTACAGTCAATATCCATCACCTACAATTATCGCCAATCTTCACCATTGAGAAACCATACCTGACTGTCAAACATCAAATATTCAACCCAAAACCTGCCTTCTAATCTGAAAATCAAACCCCCCATGAATCTCAAACCCATTCAGATCCACATTTAAATCTGAAAGTCAAACCCAGAACGGAAACTCGAACATCAGAAACCACATCCTCCCCCTCTCTACATTTAGATATGAAACTCAAACCCATATCTACATTTAGGGTTTCATACGATGATGTTAGGGTTTCTGCACAAATTGATGGTGGCGGGCAACTCATAACAAGTGATGGTGAAGAAAGCTCCAAGGAGATATGCACACGCACACCAAACCCTAGCCGCCTCTTGTTTTTTTTCCCCAATAAGAGGGTAGCGGATCTTTATTTTGGTTCAAGTGACAAGTGTAATAGATATGCACTCCTCCCTAACCTTCTCCTTACCATTCAGATCTACACTTTTATTTGGATATTTCGTCGGAGGAAACTCAGGAAGCAAAACATGTTCTTGAAAAGCTTGAGAAGATTAAACTAGAGCTTAGTCGGAATTTTGTTGATGCTGTTGTGGACTTCGCCGAAGTTTTACTAAAAGTGAATGAAAGATTGATTGAGGTGGTGGTTGATGGTTATTTTCAGTGGAAAAGATGGGCTTTGAACCGGGGAGTGGGTGTGGTGAGTTGAGGGGTGGCAGTGGTGCTCCATTTTCCGGCCATGGCATAGATTACCGATGGTGGTGGTGGTCAAGTATTCTTCAGAAACATAGCGAAATAATTATAATACTTTTTAATAATTAAAAATAATTGAAATTCATAAAAATAAATGAAAAAGAAAATAAAACAGGCATTATAGTCATTTCATATCTCACAAGGGATAAAACATGCAAAGTTAAACTAACGAAGGACGAAACACGCAACTTTTAACGACATAAAGGACGGTCCGAGTTAATTTTTGAAAATAGGGACTAAACACGCTTTCTGGCATATGCACGAGGGACAATTGGTGTAATTTATCCAAAAATTTATTATAAAAAAAAAAATGAAAGTGTTATACAATAACACATAAAGTTTGATATATATTTGCTAACAATCTATAATAAAGTCATAAAAGTGATAAGTTCAAAAATATGATTTTATAATAGAAAATATCGAACAAAGACAAAGGATACATATGATTACAGTATTGAATCTCTTAAATGAATTGAAATAGAAAGGAATTTGAATTTAATGGAACCTTTTAGTGATGTAAAACTAAAACTATTTAAATTTCAGTATTGAAAAACTTTTTTAAGCTTAAAAAACCAGTTTATTCAAATTTGAGTTTATTTTAGCAATTTGAAGATGTTAAAAAACAAAGACTTCTTTTTGTGGATTGCAGACGTTTGGTCTACATTTTCTACTGTAAAGATCTATAGATGTGGTCCACGTACAACATACATTTTGTCTCTGAAAAAACAAACAACACCTTAGTTGATCCGTGAATAATATGTAAGTATGATAAAAATCTTGAATCTCGACACAAGGAAGATGACGACACACTGAATTTGTTTTATTTTAGTTAGAATTTATGGAAAATGGGTTGAAACCCAAAACCCACGGGTTTAATCCCAAACCCATCAACCCATGGGTTGAACCCAAAAACCGAAGAAACCGACCTGTGAACCCAAAAACCGACCACGTTCAAGAACCGAACCCAATGGGTTTCAAAACTCAAAAACCAAAATTATCAGTGTGGGGGCTCGGTTTCACCCAAAAATCGACCCAAAGAGATTCATGCCCCTTATTAGACTTAATAACTAGTAAGAGACATATAAGAAGCTATATAACCAAATTAAAGACTTCTAATTATGATGTCAAATTTGACCAGACTTAACATCTTATCAGACGACTAAGAGGTATATCAAACATTCATAGTAATTGTTATCAATTTGTGTATTAGATGCTATGTTTCTTTTTTATAATAAAAGAGTCTAACGTTATACATGAAACACGCTTTGCTGTTCTAAACAAAACGACATGAATTCATTAGAAAAAACATGAGCCACTTAAATGCATCAATTCATTTATCTTAGACCATACACAAATGAGTAGTGGGTCCGGTATTGTTATATGGAAAAAGAGGGAGGGGGTCCAGTGTAATTAATCACGAGAAAATAGAAGTGAAAGGACTGTGAGGAGGTTGGTGTGTTTAATAATTACGGGACTTTGGAAGACAACCACATGACTCATTTAATTATAGCCAAGACCATGTTATTTTACCCTCACCATCATTCTTTTTGGAAAAATGTCTACTAATGGAAACTACTTGAGTTTTACTTTTTCTTTAAGATGAATAGTAAAAAAGAATAAAAGATATTTTTGTTATTTTATTGATCAATATAGTATACCTTTAATTTTTTAATATAATAATTTTTTTATTTTTTTATATACAAAACATTACCAATTAAGTATAACAAACATATAATTTTCACCATTGATGTAACATCTACCGGTTTCTTTATTACCTTTTACCTATTACCTATTACTGGGCTTATCTCCAAATTCCACATCGCCTTTTCACTGGAATTTTGGACCAAATTGGTCTAAAATTTATGATTTATTTGTTTTTTAGTGCTACAAGCTATATATTGAAAAACACCCAAAGGAGCCCAAAAATTAAGACATGTATATGGTTATGGGTAAGGTTGGGATTAACGAAAATAACACGTAAAATTCATCCATTAAACGATTTTTGTATTTGCTTTTAACAACTAGATAGTTGTTTTAAGTAACTTATCAGGGGATATTTAGGGATGTTTGATAGCCTTTTAAATTTTAAATTAAGAGTGAGACACGTAAATTCATAAAAGTTCCAAACAGTCATTTATTCTCATTCATTGCAAAAAACATAATTAATGATTCTATGTTTGAAATTTAAATGCACAAAAGAAATCCACAAGATGCACCCAAATCCGAACCTTCGCTTAACTTTTCAAATTCATGGTACACAACACAACATCGACAAAAAAAAAACAATGTGTTCAAGGTTATAACATGAAAATGGAACCAAAAATACAAAACAACACACACCTTCTTTTGTAAAATTTACAACAATTCATGGAACTTTTTTCAGGTATTAGTGTACACGATATCAACTTTGAACTAATTTCTACTTCTTTTTTCCTGTTGTATAAAAGATTAAACCAAATATTAAAAAAAAAAAATGTAACACAACAACAAATCTTTCACCAAAAGACGACTCACATACTTGTAACCAAGTCGAACTATGTTATCTGTTCTTCTTTAAATTGTAGAAGTCCTGAGGGTGGTGGTGGTGGTTGTTGTTGGTGGTGGTTTGGATAGTCTTGTCTCCGGATCAATGAATGGCCGCCATGATTAGGCGGCTGAAGTTGACCGGTGTTGGCGGCCATATTATGGCTGCTGTTTTTAGCCGCCGGCACATCGTGGGTGTGTTTTCCTTCGTATGTGGTTATCACAGCTTTTGGATCACTTGCAGCTCTCTCTACATGCTTGCGTACATTGCACCCTTGGCTTGTACACTTGTAATAACTCCTGGATATAACATAAAAAGATATTCATGACACCAAAATAAGGTAAATGTTTAGCATGATGAAAACATGAAATGCATAGCAACAATTAATGGCATGTAATCAGTGGTGGATCTAGAAAAAAAATACCTTGGATGAGGATTTCCTTTCACAACTTTTTGTCCATACTTTCTCCATCTATACCCATCATCAAGAAGATCGACTTCACTAGTTGTTTGAACAATGATCCGAGGTTCTGTAACTCCTCGGTGTGATGAAACGGGGTCCACACCCCTTGCCTCTATGTTCCTTCACATTATATAATAATTTAGGCTGTGCATGACACACCACAACTAGCTTATTTTTCGATTTTTTTTTTTTAAATTGTCATGTCTTGCAAACTAAAAAATAATTAATAAGCTAGCTTTTTACAAAAAGTACTTAGAATACTTTTTCATGAGTTTTTTCAAAAATTCTCGAACATACCCTTAATTAATTATATCTTCTAGCTAACTTGTCAGCTAGTTTTTACAAAACAGTATTTTTTGTTTGCTAGCTTATAAACTGGCAGCTAACTTTTCATCTAACAACCAGCTTTTCAGCTACCAGCTAGCTTTTCAGCTAGTTTGCCAAACATAGACTTAGTACATATAAATCATTATCAAATATATACTAGAACATATATTAATCAAATAAAAAAATACCTCCTTTTTTGTTGAGGTTCATCTTCATGTCTTTCATCTACTCGACTTACATCATTACCCACTTCCTCACTATCACTCGACCCCGAATGCTCATACGTAGCTTGACTAGATTCTTGATCTTTCATCAACGAATGGTTAAAATTACCAATCTGCCCCTCGAATTTATGTTCGTTTACGCTTGAAGTACCATTACTAGAATCTTTTCCGCGTTTGCTTTGAGGTGGCTGGTGGTTGTGCTGCCCCTTATAAATAATTTCCGTAACTTGCCCCTCTACAGACCGCTCAACTTGCTTCTTAACAGGACAATTTGGATGGGTACATTTGTAATAACTACGAGGGTATTCACTACCCTTTACTTGTTTTTGCCCATATTTTCTCCAATTGTAGCCATCATCAGCTGGCTTATCGACTGCTATGGAGGAAGGGTGGTAGCGGTTATCGGAATTTGATAGGTCAGATGAGTCCTTTGCGGTGTTGTGCTCCGGCTTAGCTGGCGGCAGGCGGTGGTAGGTGGCGGCGGTGGAGGTAAAGGAATGGATTGGTGGTAGTGATGAAGCTTGTGCTGTCACTTGAGCTAATGCTTGTTGGTGGGACATTCCAAGAGAAGCCTATTGAGGAAACCAGAAGTAATTAAGTTTCTAAAATGAATGTGATATTTCATAAAGTGTTGCATTTAATAAAATGGTAGAATTTGGATTCCATATTCTCTGCAACTTAACCAATATTTTTTGAGGTTATATTATATCACAGAGGGCTAAATGTACCTTTGTGGTTTCATAATTTTTTACTTGTTAAGGACTCAAGGTATTGTACATTGTACTTCCAAAGATCTAAGCATTTTTAGCAATATGCTTTAACATTTTCTTATTAGGATATTATAGTTTGAACAATCTACTCAATAATGAAAGGTGTTTTGTAATTTGATGACATTGTTATAACTAGATAGAGTTTTTGAAATTAATAAACTATGTTAATATTTTTGCATTTAACCCAAAAGGGGCAATAAGTTTCATCGACAATAATGAATGACGAAAACATATAACTTTTTCAACAAAGTTTGAAGAAGATAATTTAAATCATAGCAATATCATAACTTTAGTAGGTGCCTGAAAGTCTGAAACCTCCTTTTATAAAAGATAAAGCTGTTATTCCTAGATGATACTCATATATAATCGGGGAATTAAGGGCCCTCATGTTACTTTCAATTGAATCTAAAACTGTATACATAACAATTATAAACTTTTTCCTTTTTTGTAGAACACGCCTCTTACTAGAGTCAAATTTTCCTATATGCATCATGAGTTTATTTACCATATATAGGCAATACAATATCATTCACATGCGCTGCTCATTAATGGCAAATGAATACTTTTAGCTACTCTATTAATGATCGTGAATGAATGTTACTTTTGGCGTCAAAAAAAGCAAATATATATCAGACTCATATAAAGAACTTGAGCTATGGAGACGCTTTGTAAAACCTGAGTTTGAGGGAAAAATCCCGGTGAATCGAGCAAGGTAGCCGGACTTAGGCCCGGAGGTATAGTAAACATCGACGGCTGAGTAACCACCAAACTTGAAGGCCGACCATTGTTACTAAACTGAAAGTCAACGTTTCCGCCACCACCGCCACCGCCACCGCCGCTGTTAACGGACTCTTTGTTAGAATAAGAGTGTCGGATATCCAGATGACTCGACGGTCTACGGTCGGGAATCTCTGCCGGCGACAACATAGCTCCGGATAGAAGTTGAGAGAATGAACGACAATCGGAATCCGGATCGTTCTCTGAGAAGAAATTTGATACTAAAGTCATTGGTCCAGGACTAGCTCCCGGACCGCTGCCTCCGCCGGCGAACAAAGTCTCCACCGTCGAACGTGGCGGGAGCGTTATCGAAGGCCTTGTAGACGGTACCGACAACGATAATCCCCTATTTTCGTCCATATTTAAAATTTTAAGCTTGTTGAAGTTGTATCACATCTCCGGTGTAAATAGGTTTAGCCGGCGATGAATATCTCCGGCACGTTTTCTCTCTCTAGACGATATTTTCTCTCTCTAGGAGTTGTGTGTTTTTTGGGGATAGTTTTGGTGTCTGTATTCAGATGATCTGCAAAATCAGTAAAAAGTCCACGGAGCAGATGCGAAAAAGGCATCCGGAAACTATTTCCATATTTGGGTAATCCTCTGCTGCCCCCCACATGTTTCCTAGTTTTTAATTCCACCCCCTCAATTACGATCAGTTACCATTTGAATCCTTGATTATAGATTTCGTAGTATGTAAACCACATCCAAGTTAATTCAAGTAGTTATGAAATATGAACCATTGACAAGTAAATTTTGTCCATATATCAAAATTTATTAACATATATATTTTTTGTATCAAACCTTTCATACCCTAGTGTTGAGGAAGGATACATTTAAATATATCCATACATAACTTAAGCACATAAGGCAAACATTGATGAGGAGAGCAAACCACAAACTTCAGTGTGACTTTTTCCGAAAAAGAAATCAAATATCTTCATTTTTTTTCTTATCCATCTTCCTACTCAATAGACAAATGTCAAAATTAAGAGAAGAGATTAAGAAAGAGAATTAGAGGATTCCACATGTCATGAATTTATATGAGTAAGAAGATAAGTAAGAACAAAATGTATGAGGACATTTGGTTTTTCTTCCCGAAAAGATAATAGATAGGATGATTGGCATGAAGTGCCTATCATAAGAAGACACAAAGTTCACACAAACAGAACAATCTTTATTAACATGTGACTAAGTTCGTCACCAGCTTCTTTGTATCATGTATACCAAACATTTGGAATCATGAAAGCATTTGGAAGGTTGTCAAAAACTTTTCACATATCGTCGGTGTCTGTCTACCAAAGAAAAGAATACCACGCGAAATAACTTTGCATTCGTTACATACTTGAAGGTTGCAAATGCAAAAGATATCGAAGAAAAACTAAATCAGAATACCTTTTTGGTTAAGCCAAAGTCATTGTAACACAACCATATTTGATCATAATTGTAAGAACTATCAACAATGGTGGAAAGATATATGTTATTGCCCCCCAAAAACAGGTGTATGCTCTTGGCCACTAGATCTGAACCATCATTCATACGCGGACATCCTAAAAGGTTCGAACTACCCCAAACATGTTCCTCAACCCCATGAGAAAATCCTAACCGCTAATCACAACCACTATTATGTTATGATTCTTATATCAAAATCATATCAAGACATAAACAACGAAAGCAAATCAAACAAAACATCATAAACTGACATAATCCATGTTTATTCAACTTTATGTTGTAACAACCAGAATCTAAAAGGTTAATTACGGAAATAAAACATCATTTCTAAAGGTCAACTTGTTGAGTTTAAGGCATAGACTCGACGTGTAGAAACTATGTGTCACGCGCATTTTCGAAGATCAACTCGACGAGTTGGTCGTGGTTTGAGAAACCCTAATTTTGGGATTTTGCACTCTATTTAAGCAACTTTAACCCCAAATGTTGGCCTCATTTCCAATCTCCATTGCCTCTTAACCTGATCTTGAAACCCTATAGCATTTTGAGTGTTGTGAGCCCATTTTGAGTGCATTTGGAAGCTTATTGAATGAGGGAGAGTTTTGTGCAAGGTGGTGATTCAGGAGGAGCTTTCAGATCTCGAATTCTCACTTCACTTTCAACATTTTGCTGGTATAAAGTCTCAATCTTGCTCATCATATGATTAGATCTCCTTGTTAGGGCTAGTTTCCATGTTTTGACCAAGCTGAGTGGTTGATTGGTTGTTGGTTGTCCCAATGGAGTTATTATTTCAGATCCATGGTTCTTCGGTACTCTTGCAGTATAGAGGTGCCAAATTTGTGTTGGATTAGGTGTCTAAGTTCATAATTATTTCTGAAATGTACTTGACCCGATTAACATGGTCCATTTAGGTTGCATGGCATCATGCATTTGGATAGACCAAAATGAGAGAAATAACACTTAAGGTTTATTAATATATTATAAGTTCTAATATATTAATAATATTATTTAGTCAGTATTGATCAATAATTAATTTGGAATTAATCAAGTGATCAAAAGAAGACTAATTAAATATATGGGTTGATTATGTAAATCACCCATACTTGTATAGTGGGCTAATGCTCCATGGATTATCAAGTTGGGCTAAAAACCATAGGATGCTCCATGGATGCTCTATGGTGTCTTTGAACCCATGGATCATGGAAATAAAGAGCCATGTCAAGTTAGGGTTTACATGGTGTAACCCTACTTATGACACACTATAAAAAGAATATGTGAGCAACCAAAATCGGCACTAGTGTAAGAACAAGAGGGCATAGCCGATTTCAGAAGTGTTCTATTTCTCTCAAGGTTATTCCAAGTGTATTTGGTGTTGTGTGAGACATTTGAGGCATCACACTTAATGTGCTAGGCTCACAAGGTTCTCAAGGAATACAAGCAACTAAAAGTATGTATTTCTTACTAGTTTTTATGTTTAAAAGTTCCCCATGTATGCTAGATAGGTTAAGAACCTTGGAAAGTCAATTTTGCATGTATCATAGTAAAACATAGATCCAAGGTTTCTAGGGTTGCATGTACACCTTAGGAGTGTTAGAATGCTAAAAACCCAACAGTGATATCAAAGCCTAGGCTTGTTTGCTTAATATTTGATGCAAAATTATGAAAAAAAAAAACTGGAAATCTTGTTGTCTGGACAGTGGACTCGTCGAGTCCATGGGGGGACTCGACAAGTACAAGCACAAACTCATCCTACTCGTCGAGTAGCTTCATGCAATTGACGAGTAGGAGCCCCAAAATGCAGATTTTCGAGTTTTGCTGCTGGAAATGGACTAGAAACATTACCCTAAATTGTTTTGGTCTTATAAAACTTGTTTTAGATGGTGTAATGGTTATGCTAATCCATTTCAATAGCTATTATCAAAATTTCAAGTTTTATATGGTTAATTTTATGATTCTTGAAATTGTTGATATGTATGTTCATGAACTTATGAGTTTAGAAGATCATATGAATTATTTATAACTTGCTTGTTAGTTTAATTCTTGATCATTATGTGTTTTAATGGAATCCATAATTTGTCCTTAAGTTATGGATTACCAAAAGTCATCATTTTAAAGTCCATTAAAGAAACATATAGGTTACATAAAATGAAAAGTCTCTCATTTTATTAAACCATTTAACTCATAAGTTATGAAAGATGAAAACTTTTGAAAGTTACAAAACTTGCCCTCAAGTTTTGGAACATGTAAAATCACTTTAAAAACTTTAGCTCCAACCCCTTGAATTTTAAAAGTTAAAATTCAACCCTTATACTTTATAATATTATAAGTTATATATATATATATATATATATATATATATATATATATATATATATATATATAGATATATATATAAGAAAAAGTCAGTCTTACCGTTAGTAGGCCTCATACGAAGTCGGTCTATAAGGGGGGGGGGGGTATAAGGTTGTTGCCTATAAAATGGCGGCTTAATGCGTGTCCACTCTCACCCACCGTTTCCTTGATTGGTGGAGGGTCGTTAGCCGAACGAGTAGGATAAAGACTAGAATTCTCCCTTCATTAAAAGTATTAATGATGACTATAAAGTAACTAAACATTTTATAAATTTTCAATCTTAGTTACTTTAGGAAAATGTGAATAATGTGCTAACCTATAAAATTACACTTTGCACTTTGCTTAAGTCGATTAGTGGAGCGTGTGTGGTTAACCGACACAATAGATGGACTTAACAAGGTAGACAAATGGTAACTTAATGTTTATCATAGTATCAATTGAGCGTGTGTGGTTAACCGACACATCGATTGAGGGGTAATACATTAAGGGTACCAAGTAATTTGCATGGTTACTTCACACCTTGTTTTGTGATCCTCGGCATCCCAGTCACAAAACCTGAAGGGCACACTCGAGTTTGAAACATGCCATTGAAAGTTCAATGAATCTCAAAAGTTCTAGGAGTTTCAAATCCAATTAAAACCTAATAAATCATTTCGTTTTTCATGGTGGAAATTGGTGAATCGTCATTCACCTACCTTCAAATATTTTATAGCTTGGATTACGACATCCCTCTTCCAAGTTATAAAATATTGTGTTGGGTCCTAGCCTTAATATTTCATATTGGGTGTTATATTAAGGACTTTAAATCAACTATCTTGAATATCTCCCAAAAGATGTTTGGTTCAGAAAATTATGATCTTCCCATCACTCTTGGAATAAGCTTTCCTAATGAAGATGATGTCCCGTGACTGGATCATGGAAATCATACTTTAATTCCTCCACCTCCTCTAATTATTCTCCCTAACCCACAAGTTCAAGGTCACTCAAGCCCTATCGGCAAGAAAGGTTTATGAATGTAACACTTGTGTTTCCTGGATGGATCATTTTAGGGTTTTAAGGAGTCAAAAGGTCAATTTTTGGAAGAAATTGAGTCTCACGACGTTATATTTGAGTTGTCACGACGTGACATGGGTTAAAATGTAAATTGTGTTCGGGACTGATCTCACGACGTGAGGCATAGAGGCTCGTGACATGAGAACTGCTGCAGCCCAAACCCATGATCTTTTAGTGTTTGCTTTGTATTTAAGCACCCTAAACTTGGTTTTAGGGTTAATTTCTCAACCTACGTATCTGTAAACCTCATAAATGCTAACCCTAGTTCCTCATGGTGGTTTTTGGTGATCATTTAGTGATTTTTGGTTCTTTGAAGAATAAGAAGACTCCTTGGGTGCACCCTTTTGGCTATCAAGCTCATACCTCATCATCTTGCAGTGCTTTTGGACCCTTGTATGTCATAAAGCTTATACATTTATCTTTAATGCATGCTAGATCTAAGGTTTATGCTTTCCTTTTTATGGATGAGTTTGGTAGCATGCATGGGATCCATAAAGTTTGCAACTTTA